CTGGGCTGGATTCGAACCCACCACCTTAGGTGTATATGGCTGGTGCCTTAGCAGCTTGAGCCACAGGCGCCGAGCCAACTGCCAATTTTCAGTACAGCAACCCTGCCTGAGCAGTACCTAGCATCCCTGAGTTCAGTACATCTGCCTGAAGGTCTCTAGACTGCCAGAGTGGAAATTAGAGTAGCTACCTAGCTACACAGTGTTTACAGAAAGGATTAAGGCATCTAACCGGGCTGAGGCAGGAGGACTCCTTGAGCTCAAGAGTTTGAGACCAGTCTGAGGAAGAATGAGGTCCTATCGCTACTAAAAATAGGAAAAACTAGCTGAGCATGGTGGTGCATGCCTGTAGTCCCAGCTACTTGGGAGGCTGAGGCAAGAGTATAGCTTGAACCAAAGAGTTTGGGGTTGCTGTGAGCTATGATGTTGCCACAGCACTCTACACAGGGCAACAGAGTGAGACTTGGTCTCAAAAAAAAAAAAAAAAATCTAACTGCTACTTTTAAAGATTACCAAAAATCTTATTTTCAATACTATCTATACCAATTCCTTCAGAAATATGATACTTCTAATTCCTGAACCTACAGACTAAATAAGTTTGCTTTTTGATTTGTCTTTATTCTAGGCACTCAGCTTTCAGCTTTTTTTTTTTAAGGTCTATTAGGTCAATTATAATTCATTCGCCTACCTTTCAGATTGCAAACTTTCATCATCTCTTACCAGTTGAGGTCTCTTCTCTCTTTTTCAACCTTATAACTTCAAATCTTTTGTGTGCCTTTATCAATATTTTAATTGGGCCTCAGAAAGGCAAAGTAAACATGCATATTCAATCTTCCACATTAAAGATAAAATCCTTAATTATTCAACATGGGACAAAGTTACCAGATTCCAAGGAAGAATTAAAACAATTAATTATCATATGTTAAATAGAATGCTGTGGGCTGCTCAGAATTTAACCAATTACAATATTATGGGAAACAGAATTCCAAGTTTCAAACATCAATCAGCAAATGAACTCTTAAAATACAAGCAGTTTATAGGTTACAGTCTATTTTCTATTTCCTTAAACCTTTCGCATGTCAACTTGATAAATCTAGTAACTGAGGACATTTCTTATTTACAGTAGAACCTCCATAGTTGACCATATCCCTACATTGACCATCTCCTTAAGGTGACCTCATTTTCATAAAGCAGACATGTACTACATGGATATATCAGCACACTAGGCCTAGTTATGTTGACCACCTCCAAATGTTGACCAGTTTTTTACAGTCCCTCAGGGGGGTCAACTTACAGAAGTTCTCTTGTATTTAAATTATGATTTTAGAAGATGCTGCTCATTAAGATTAAATAGTTTATTTTCTCTAAATAGAGTGCAAAACACATTCAACAAGCATTCAAAAATGTATTATGCTCCAAGCATACCAGAGGAAGATAAAACATTCTAATTCTCAATGGTTTAGGGTCAAGAGGAAAAGATAAACAAAAACAATTACACTACTATTTTGAGTCCTATGACAGAAGTATACAGAGTGCCACAGAGCTACCAGGATAGAGCAAGTCATCTAGAGAAAAGAGATGTCAGGAGAGGCTTCCCAGTAAAAATGACACCTGAGATAACGAGGCAAAGAGGGGAAAGGAAAAGAAAGAAAAGCATTTTTTGAATGCTATATTCTAGGAAATATTCCTCTAGTCTGTTTTCCAGCTCACTAGTTTTTAACATGAAATCATCCGAATATTAGACTCACTAATTAAGTTTTTAATTTGATAATAGTTTTAGTTTCCAGGTACTACACTTTTATAGCTGCCTGTTATATTACAGATTCAATGACCTCTTGTATCTAAAAAGGTATTTAAAATTTTCTGATAGTTCCTCAGATGTTAATTCTGCTATATTTGTTTCCCTTTTTTCCACAGGGCTAGTTTTCTTCAAGGGTTTGTCTGTTCCCATTTGCCTTATTCATATCTCTATTTGAGGATCTGTTTGTACAGCAGTGAGAATAAATTCTGAAACAATAGCTTGCTTCTGAAGATTCTGTAAGAGTGAAAAGACATTCTGAGAACTTGTACTCTTGTTAGGGATGCCTCCTGTATTTTCTGGGTATTGTAGATTATATAGGGGCATTGCTCTAATTGCCTGGCCAGCGTCCACACTGGAAGTCTATAGAAGAATTCTCATGTCGGAGAGCCCTGTTATATCTTCATATTGGAGTTGAACATAAAAATTACTTTTTTATTCCTTTGCTATCCTTATGGCAGTCTGGAAGCTTACTTCACACTGTCCTCTGCTTCTCAATCCAGCTTGACTTTGACCCTTGGCAGCCAACCCAATAGTTCACTTCATTTAGAAGTAGTTCTCAGGGTTTAATCCTGGTACCAGGCACTGCTAGCTTATAATATTTTGCATTTTTGACTGAAAGTTTGGAGCATGTCTAGAGCTACTCTTACCTCTGCACTGGTTTTTCTCTGTTCTTTATCAATCTGATTTCATCTATTTTTAAGAATTCCTCTGTATTTGTGATGTGCTGATAGTATCCTTTGTTTACAAAAATAACTTCAATTATGATAATATGTAGATGGCTCACAAATTTCTACCTTGAGCCTTCCATATCCAACTGCCCATCTGACATTGCTACTTAGTCATCTTAAAGGAACTAATAAGTATATTAAAAATTGAATTTATGGGGTAGTGCCTGTGGCTCAAAGGAGTAGGGCACCAGCCCCATATGCCAGAGGTGGTGGGTTCAAACTAGCCCTGGCCAAAAACTGCAAAAAAAAAAAAA